TCACTTTAGGAATGATTCTGTATAAGCCAACATTCCTTTTGAGCTTATTGCTAGAACATTCTGGAAATAAACATCTGTGTGTAGGTCAATCCTTTGGGCAGGTTGGTGCTTGGCAAACCTGAATTTTCTTTGTGTAACCCATGGTGTCTCCCTGTCATGGAAGTTTTACTTTTACTTTCTTAATTTCTAAAGCTGCGAAGTATTTCTAATTTAGAAAATAAGAATAAAAGGAAAACACTCCTATTCACCACCCAGTTTTCACCACCCATAATTTTGCTTTATCTGCTTTAGATGTTTCTAAGTATAGAAATAAGACATTTCAGATAAAGTCAAAGATCGTGTTACAGGTCTCCTTGTGCCTTCCTCCCTCCCTCCTTCCTAGAGGAGACCACGGTTCCCGTGTTACGTGACTCCATCCCGCTCACGTTTTCATAATCTTACTATGTCTCCCCCACCCCAGAAACAATTTGGGTGTGGTTGTGTGTATGTGTATGAGTGTGTGCTGATGTTGTATGTAAATGCTGTCACACTATTCTCCACATCTGCAAGTAGCCTTTGTCATTCTTCCTCGTTCTCTGTTATGGTTTAAGGATTTATCCATGTTGATGCGTGTTCTTTGTTCTCCCTGTATTTCTGTATTTTGTTGCAGAAATACGCTATGATCAACTTTAAACATACATTCTTTGAGACTCCTTGTTCCCTCTATTCTCACCAATACTCAGTACTTCCAAAGTTTTCATTTTATGAAATGTCCCCTCATTATTTTAGTTTTCATTTCCGTAATTACTAGTGAAATCTAATAACTTTTCATATGTTTATTGCCTATTTGGGTTTTATCTTCTGTGAAATCTCTGGCTCCTACTCTTTGCTGTTCCTACTTCTGTTCTTTTTTTTAATTGATTCCTAGGATTCTTTATATATTCTGGATCCAAATCCTCTTGTCAGTTATATGTGCTTGAATATCTTACTGGGAGATCTTTTTCAAAGACTTTTATTTCAGATAGACGCAGCAGCTAAAATACTCCTTCTAGTTTCTTACACATAGAAATTTCTGTTACCAGCATATCCTTGTATTAATTCATTGTATGTTCACTCACTAATTCATTTTACAGGTATTTTTTGAGTACTACTTCCCATGGGCAAAGAATTTGGGGGCAAAATAAGGATAAATAAGATGTTTACTTTCTAGTTGGGGAGACCACAACAACACATATGCCTAAAGTACACGGTGAAATGTAATACGAGCTGTAAGAGAGGGTCCAGCTGAGAGAGCCAGAGCTTCTGGACATTTCATGGTAAAAGCAGCTTGAGAACCCGACTTCGGAAGTTGGATAGAAGTTGCACGCACAAGAATAGGGTTCAGGACATCTTGCTGGAGGAGATTCCATGGACAAATATCAATCCAATTTTTGAGCAAACAGTGTGCATATTTTATCTCATTTTAGCCTTAAGACAATTCTGCCAAGTGGTTATGGTCGTCATCTTTTCATACGCAAGGAACCCAAGGAAATGTGGGGAAGTTCTCAGATCTAGTTAATGTTGGGATTTCACATAAAACCCAAGTCTCACAGACTCCACAACCTTTGCTCTTGCCACCCCACAGCACCGCATCCTGACAGCTTGATGGTCTGCGCGAGAGGGACATGCATGCAGCGGCAACGGGCCAGTTGGTACAGCCAAGTGCCAATTGCTTCCTGGGCACGGGGAAAGGGGGCTACAACTGGGAAGCGGGAGGCGGGTCACAGGGTGAGGGGCTGGAGGCCACCCTGAGGACTGCGGACTGGTGGCACACAGGCAGCCACTCCTCTGCCCTCTGGAGAACAAAGTCAAGCTATTTGTCTGAGCGGTAATGCCTGAGAGCGTTTTAACAGTCTGTCCTTGTGAGAAGCTAAGCGGAAAAATGGCAACAACTGCTCCTTTGCTTGAGAAAATGGAAGTTCAGCCACATCAAACCACAAAGGCTGGACACATGATCATGCAGATGAGAAAGCCAGGAGAGTTCTATTTCTCAATAAATATTTGTCGAATGAGTGTATAAATGAAAGAGGAAAAGAAAGAAACATACACAACATGGGTAACAGCCCAGGGAAGGCCACTTCAGCAGAGAGGAAAAACAGATAAGGCCACTATTGTTTTATTTCACAACTCTTTTCTTCCTCATGGCTGTTTACCTTTCCGTATTTGCATTGTGAAAGGTGTTAAAGGGCCAGTAACCTTCATTTTCTTTCTGGTATTACACCTTTGGGCCTCTTCCCACAGATCCTCAGAGCTACCCTTTATCTCCTGGCAGGGGCTTCCAGGCTGACACAGAAGGCACCCAACAGATGACTGAAACCAACTTACCTGTTTATAGGGGAGGGTATCAAGGCCTAGAGATGTTTAGGAATTGGCCCAAGGTCACTGAGCACATCCCCCTCTCTGACTAGAGTTCACTGTTAGATTTTCAGAGTTGAGCTATACCGAATATTCACTTATTGAGAAAAAGAAACAAATACACACGAGTGTCTCACAGATCTTGGGAATTGACTCTTTCTAAAAGATCCCTCTTCTGGAATATGAAACTGAGAAGTGACGGTGGTGTCACAAGGGGTAGACAATTGGACTGGCTGAAGTGGAGGAGACATAAAATAATTCCTCATGTCTATTCCAGGAGTTGCGAGGTGACAAAGCCCTTTGAGTCTATTGTCTCAACTGGCCCCACACAGTGTCCTGGAGACACCCTTCCCCTCTATCAATGAAGCTCAAGAAGCCCACAGATGGTGAATGCACAGCCAAAGTTTACACTCAACTCTTGTGATTCCAGCTAAAGTTCTGCCCAACATCACATGGGCGGGAAGACACAGATCTGTCTGTAGGAGGAAGGAGCACTGTACAGCCAAAGTCACTGAACACAATGGGCACTCATTCATTCATCCCATTTGTTTGATTGCTAGCCCACTGTGTGCCAGACACTGTAGTAAGCATGTACAGGTTCCCACCATCTTGAAGCTTAATTATTTTGATGTGTTCCAGACAATCTTTGATATAAAATAGGGACGAGACCCTTGATAGAAATCTTGCCTTTCTATCTTCCAACGTGACTAAATTGTCATCATTGAAAACTCATCCTCATGACTTCAACAGCTCCAAAATATGTTTCTTCAGAACTGGTTAAAGTCTGGGATGTGTCAGCATCCAGGGCCCTTTCTCAACTTTCTATGCACAGCATTTCTTGTCTCTCCATCAGGGCAGCTATAGGCTGGTCAAACATCCTTACAGTCAACCGTTTAGCAGTATTGAGAGTCTGTTGGGATAAAATGCAAATGTACTTGAAAAGTAAACCATAACACTGTCTTCAACTCTCATCACCCAAACAGGAGTTCTAGCTACTTCTCAAACTTGCTTGATCCTAATAATGCCCTGGGATAACTTGATGAAAGAAGAGATTCCTAGACATCACGGGAATCTTCTAATTCAGGCCAGCCAAGGGTGGGAGTCTCTGGCAAGTCCAGAAATTTGGGGAAACTCTGCCTTCTACCACTTCTGCCATTGCAGGAAGCAGAAAGAAGCTCTCTAGCACATTGTGGGCTTTTCAGTTTCGAAGAGTAGTGGGAAGCAGGAAACACCAGAAAGTGTTCAAAGTGTATAAGTCAGGAGGACCAGAGGCCTGGCTGGGTCATGTATCCCAGGGGAGACAAGATGAGAGGTGAGCATGGGGGACCGGCAAAGCAGGAGGGAGTAGGACAGAGAAAGGAGCACTCGGATGACAATGCAGGGTGCAGAGAGGTGGGGAGATCAACAGCCCTGCTGACAAGCAGCTCAGCCTGGCCCACACCCAGCCTTTCCCAAATATCTCTCTTCACTGGCACAGTGCAAGCCAGCTAGACCAAGCCCACCGGACCTTGAGCTGCTCATAAACAGAAGGACTTGCTTAATGCCTCCTGTTGGCACCACTAGGACCAGAATGAGCCCTCAAGAACACAGGGGAGCCCATTCTGTGCTTGTCAGGAACCCCAAGCCCCTCTGCGGCTCTGTCATAAGTCTGTTCCTATTTTGGCAACAGAGAGGAAAATTGATCAGAAGGTGTTTACAAAGACTTATGTCCATAATCCTGAGTTTCCCTTTCCTGCTTCTTGCACTAGGAAGATAAAAATCCCCATTGTCTCGGTCTTGAAATGCCGTTTGGGGTTACAGTTAACACTGAATGCTTATTGTTCAAGAGTTGTAACTGACATAAGAATTCCTCATCTTACAACCCTGAGAAATTAATAAAAATGGACTATGCCTCATTTTAGGAACAAAAGCAAGAAATAATTTCAGTTAATCAACTTGTAGAAAAATGCACCTGTGTGGTGGAATACTTACTCAGCCATGAAAAAGGATAAAATCATCCCATTCACAACAACATGGATGGACCTTGAAGGTATTACGTTAAGGGAAATAAGCCAGATAGAGAAAGACAAACTCTGTCTGATTCCACTCATGTGTGGAAGATAAACAAACATATGGACAGAGAGAATAGATTAGTGGTTACCAGAAGAAAGGGGGTAAGCGGTGCGCAGAAAGGGTGAAGTGGTGCACCTATAATATGACTGACAAACAACAATGTACAACTGAAATTTCGTAAGGTTGTAAACTATCATAACCTCAATAAAAACAATATATATATATTTTTTAATGCACCTGTGTGCCTGTCAGGCTGCTAAGTAAGATCTTGGAATATGGAAGGAAGAGTAATCTGCTAATTACTTTGACATGAAGAATCTCACCTGATCCTAAGAATGGTATAATTAAGCAGAAATGATTATTTCCAATTTGCAGAAGAGAAAACTGAGGTTCAGAATGGTTATGTGATGAGAGTGGGAGACAAGGCCATGATTTAAATTCAAGTTTGGTATTCTGATTCCAAAGAAAGAGATGAACCATGCAACACAACTTGTAGGATTTTCCAGAAATACTAATGAGAGTGTTCTGATAACCCCTCTCTCCCAACTAGATCAAGAAGGAGGCAATTTCTCCTATTCATCTTTGCCTCTCTGGAGTAAAGCACGGAGCTCAGAAAATGTGTGATGAGTGAATGAATGATTTAGCATCAGTTCGACCTTTCAATGCCAGCAGCCCTGGTCGGTCTCTAAAAACTATTCTTTTGTTTTAAGGCTTTTAATTCTCCTGGAGAATCGTTTCTCAGGGCTTCACTCCCACCTGATCACTTGCCGTCAGTGCTGGGATCCAGGGGACCGCCCCTCCCCTTTCCCACATGCACCCCAGTTCAAACGGACTGATAAGCATATCTAAGGGAGATAGCTGAGCAAGATATTGCTGAAGCAATATCTAATCTCTCAGAACGTCTTATATTACAACTCAGAGACATGTCTTTTGAGACATGAACAGACAACTAAGTCAGGCCACCTGAACGTTCTATTACTATGGCATTGACAGGTAGACAAGTGGATGAGTCGTCGGGCTATGGGATGATGTCTGAGCACCTTTGTCAGATCACCAGGTCCCGGAGGTGGGGGTTATGTATAACTGAGAGTCAGCTGCCAGGTAACACCTCGGCCTTCCTACTGGAAATCCTTCCTGTGGGATGGGTCCATGAAGCTTCTTCTGCATGTGAAACCTGGAAAGAGAGAGACACGGTCTCAGTTGCTTCCTCAAAGTGCTCACAGACACCATTCTTGGAGGCAGGTAAGTGGCTCCTGAAAGATCCTCCCTCTTTAGGAACTCAGCAGCCCGAGCCCAACACCTGGGCTTGAGTCTTAGTTCTGCCATTTTCCAGCTATATCACTTTTGGTCAGTGGTATCACTTTTCTGAGCCTCAGTTTCCACAGGTGAAGAAAAATAAATAGATCCTAATGTTACTTTTACCATTGGGTTGCAATGAAAGTTAAAGGAAAGACTCAATGGAAAGGCTTATACAGCCCAGTGCCTGGCACATTAGAAGATTTTGACAAATGTCAATTATTTTTGTTGTGGTATTTTTTACTCCTAAAGTCATTTTTGTTTAATTAAATGGATTGTCTGGTAAAGACCTGCCACTTATCCCTTAGAGGACATCAATCAGCGTGTGTGAGACACTTTCACCTTTCACAAGCTCATAGAACCTGAGCTTTAGGGGTGATCTCAAGGGGTGGACCCTCAGAGAGCACCTCTCGCTTTAGACAAGGCAGAGCCCAGTGGCACCATCCAGGATCACATTGTGACACACCAGGTTAGAGTTCGGGTTTCCTCATGCCTCATCTCTGCTTGCTCTGGAACCCCATCATCTCCTCTCATGGCCCACACTATCTCTTTAGTATCCAAAGAAATACCTCTCTGGGACCTAACAACATTGTTGCTAACAACGGGAAATGTCAAAGAATAATTCATGTGGCTCTCCAGTCCTTGCATTTAAAAAATTTTCTTACCCTTATAATTGAAGAAGTAAACTCTCTGAAAGTTCAGCATAGATTTCTGGTAGAGGAAGCATAAGAAATCAAGAAAGAGGCAGTTTCAGTAAGGTTTGAAGCTAGAGAATGTTCATATGTCAGCATTCCCTTGAGAAATCTTGTTTTGTGAGATTCTAATCCAGTATTTCAGACCAAGGAGCTTCGTGACTTGACGACATTATTGGAAGAAAACATTCCCCTGTAGAGATCCCTTACCGAGACAAATGTAAGAGTTAGAGCTTTGAGATACTATGTTCCCCTTTTCATAGAGTAGTGTGCTCGGAAGCACCAGTGTCCTGCAGAGAGGCGCCTCAGTTACAGACCTCAGGACTGGAGGCCCTCTGTCCCTGTACAGAGATCCTGTCTCCGTGAAGACAGAGCTGGGTCTGGCTCTTCACTACTGCGTTTCCACAGCCTAAAGCAATGTCTATCAGATGGTGGCTGGTCAAAAATACTTCCTGCTGCTCTTGTTGCTTAGGGGCAAATTTTAGAACAGAAGACATTTGTTAAACCTTTGATCTTTCCATAGAGTTTCGCAGGTCAACAAGAACAGTAACAGCAACAACAAAGCAAGCAGAAAACACTGAGCCGGCCAAGACTGGACCCTGTCCTCTTTGCCAAGCTGCTGAGCTCGTTTTCCTGTTGCCTTGCAGCCCTCTGGGCGGTCATTGTTTGGGTGTGCACTCCTGCCTGTTTCTGGGTACAACACTGTCTTCTAGGAGTTCTCACAATGAACAAATTTTGAAGGCACGCCAGCTCGTGCTCAGACTTCCTTTTCTCTGTTTGTTTTCCAGAATTCAGGTCAGTTTCTATCTCCAGATCTTCCTATCACAAGAAATTGGATTTCAGCTCTGGTTTTCTCCATGGGACACAGCACAAACATTGGATTGGGGGTCACCTTCTGACTTAAATCACTTCTTGTCTCATCATGAAAGGTGAGCAGCTTGACCTTCACAGCAGAAGGGACTGGTGACAAGTCAGGAAACCTGAGCGAACTTCCCAAGGACCTAACCCTTGGGAAGAGGTTAAGGCTTTAACAAGGAAAACAAAGAAACAACTCAATAGCAGGCAATAGGACAGCGTTTAATTGAGATATGGTTTGAATATTAAAAAAAAATCTGGTGGGGCCACAGTGTTCATAGAAAAGAATTGCTCCTGTGGTCAAGGTGGCCAAGAGAAGGCTCTCAGAATCAGATCTCAGATGGGATGGAAGACAAGATGTGGAAGAAATTAGTGGGGTTTTCTTGATACTTAAAAGGTGACCTTGTTTCCAAGATTGTTGATAACGGTGTTTTGGTTCCATTATCTCCCATCTCGCTGCCCCAACCCCACTGTTTTTGTCTGGAGGCTGCATGTGTTGGCGCAGAGTTATTCCCATTGGCCTCAGAGCCCAGTTACTCATTCAAAAATATTTATTGAAAGCCTTGTACATGCCAGGTATGTTCTAGTTGCTGCAGAGACCAAAACAACCACAGAGCTTGTGGCCTCTTCAAGGAAAGACAGACAATAAACAATGAACAAATAAATAAATGAACTAGTACAAATAGTAGTTGATAATATCAAGAAAATACATGGGAGGATGGGAGAGAGAGTGGCTAGTTGGGGATTTTCTTCTTTAGATAGGACCCAGGGAGGCCTTTGTGAAAGGAATGCATGTGAGCTGAGTGGCACCGATGACGAGAAGCCAGCCACCAAGGGCCAGCTGGGAGAGTGTCCCTGGCAAGAAGTGCTGGTGCAAAGTTTGGAGATGGGGAAGAGCTTGGAAAAATACAGTAAGCAGGAGAGGAGAGGAGCCAGAGAGAAGCAGAAGACCATCAATCAATCAGCTGTGCCCTTGAACGTAAGTACGGCCCTATGCTCTTGTAACTCGGCCAAGCTTATAGTATTTCTGTCTGTGAAGGCCATCCCTGACATCTCATAGAATGTGACTGGCTGGTAAAGTCTTAATGAAAGATAAAGAACAAAACAAAAGAAAGTATAGGAATTTCTTAGTGCTGTTTTGTTGCCCAGGGAAATTAAAAATTGCTTGAAACAAGAGTGGCAACAATCCTCCTCAAATCTGATGACTCTTAAAATTTTGGAGACTTCCTATGCCTGGATGTCTTGCTAAAGTTCATGGAATACAAAGCTGGGTTGGAATAAAAAACATGTTTTATTATGCTTCTCTAAAATGGTAAAATAATATCATGAGAAAAGCATAAGCTTGGCCATGCTGGTCTCCTTGACTGCTGTATGACCTTGAACAAATGACTTAACCTCTCTGAGCTTGTTTCCTCTTCTGTATTGTGAGGATTATATAAGATAACAGTGGAGGTTCAGCTGGCATTAGTTTTAGCTCTTCCCTCCATGTAGACGATGGGAAAGTGAACCTCGAAGAGAAGACAGGTGCCATTTAGTAAGGAGAGGAAAGGTGGAAATGAGGGCAGGGATCTTGTCCATGCCCGGAGCTGTGCCTGGAATACAGCATTTGCTCAATAAATATTTGTGGGATGGATGAGTTCTTAAAGGGCCTGAACCCACCATAGGTAGGGCTGGGAACAGGCACTTCAAGGACCTCAGACTATTTTGGAGTGAGTTTACTCCCAGTCCATTTGATCTGTGACTCTTCCTTTGGTTTAGAGAATAGCCAGGGAGTGATGGGCGGGCAGGAGGGGGAGGAGGAAAGACACAAATCTTTGCCCTGTAGGACATCCAACCCCCAGAGGTTATCCGCAAGGCCAGAGCATCCTTCCATGCTTGACTTGGAGGATCAGTTAATTTTCAAAATAGTTAAATAACTTCCATTGTTTTTATAAAATTCAGAAAGTACAGAAAAAACAAGAAAAAGTCAACAATCCCACACTGAAACATACAACACTATTTTTCTCTTTTTTTTGTTTAAACTATGAGTTTAGACATGATGGAGATCTCATTGGGATCTCAGTCACATGTCCTTTCTTTTTCAGTCACTATGCTGGGAGCTAGAAGGTTCTCCATCCACGTAATTTTTTGTGGCAGCATAATAGTCCAGACTAAGAGCACACAGTGATTAATCCAGCCGGTGCCCCAGTGTTGGCCATTCAGACCGTTTCCAATTTTCCTATCATACACCCTTTGCTTCTTTTACTTCACCTTGGGAGCACCGACGGGTGATACAGAAGAGCAGATACACATTCAGTAAGATCATGGATTTAAAGGACCTGGAACATGCTCCACCAGCCTTACCACGCAGCAGGCCCCTCTTGGCCCTGATCGCCACCCGTGGAGAGCTACCTTCATCAGGGACACTGGTGCTTGCCTTTCCTTCTCTGAGACCAAGCCTCGGGATACTGTCCTGACTGGCATTGCAGTTCTCTGACTCCTAGAGGGATGAAGGGCTGGAGGGTGGGAAGGGAGGCCAGGGTGAGACAGCCTGGCTTAGGGTCTGCACAGGTGGAGCTGTGTGCTCAGACTGAGGTCTCCTTTCCCCCAGGCTGGAGCTTGTGGCTGCCCCAGTTCTTCTCCGCACTCAGGCCAGACAACTTGGACCTGAGGTACTCACCGCTTAGCTCTCACTTGACAACAGAATGCACTCAGCCTTAGTTCTGAAAACTTGGAGTTTGCCCAGGGCTCAGTGTAAACATATCTGTCTATGGAAGGGCTGCTGTCGAGATTGGGCAGATAGTTGATTGAGATGCATAGCAATCTCTTTTTCCTCCCATCCCTGCCCTTCTCTCCACTCCACACGAAGAGAGGGACACTATCAGCTCCCTTGCCCCCTCTCAGTGCCAACAGGGCAACCTCAACTATAATATTGGTTGCATTGGATTCACGTGAATATGTTCTTGTGTCTCTTGCTTGAGGCCGGGACTGCCAAACTCCTCCTTATATTCTCAGTACTTAGCATATTTCTGGGCCCAGAGCAGATACTCAAAAAATGTTTGTTGCACTTTATTTGTGAAGGGGAAAAAGAATTAAAGCTGATTTTTAAAAAATGCATAACGTGTAAATAGAGTGAGTGCTAGGACCTTCAGAGCCTGGGCCGTGACTGCTGGCCCATTGACACTGTTCACGGAAGGTTGTGCAATCCCTCGGTTGGGATGATCTTCAGAGCCAGATCATAAACTGTATCTAAGAACAAATGTGGTGACTCAGCAGCACCTCCTTCTCGACCACTGCAGGATGCCTTGGTGGATCAAGTCTCCTTCACCTGGTTTGGCTTCTGCACAGTGACTGGCGGTTTCTAAAAGCTGAAGTTGAAGACGTTGCTGGTATGTGAATTATTCTGCTGCAGGGCTTTCCGGGAATACGGGCAGAGCCAGATGATTGGAAATTTCCCATCTAATCTGCCCGGAAAGAGTCCACGTTCCTGTGCCTGGAACAGGTGGGCAGGCTTGGTGATCGTAACACACACGATGTGCCTGCAACTTAAAAACCAGTTTCTACCATCTCTAAAATATCCTTCTACTGATTCCCGCCCCCACCCCCCCCACCCCCAGCCTATTCACTCTCTGAAGCAAAGGAGAATTTAATGGGCCATCACTCTGTCTTTGCTGGGCTAACAAAGACAGCACGAGTACACTCAGCCCAGGGCCACTCTGGGGAAGGCAGACACTCATTCTCCTAGCTCCTAATGAAACCCCAAGGGCGGCGTCTGGGAAATTCCCTTAGGAAAGAGTGACTCTGACAGGAAGTGGCTTCGGGTGAGGAAAGCCTCTCTAATTTAAAGCTTCCTTGCTTTTAATAAAAACAAAGTCTTTAAACAAATGGTAAGGGAGGAAGAATTTAAGTACTAGCTACTCTAAAATGGCATGTTTGGGTGATAAGAATTAACAAATTCTTTCCTCCTCCGTGGAAACTCCAACGAATGAAAGCCACAAATAGCATTTGCCAGGTCGAGGCCCATTTGCCCCCCATTTTAAAGGGAACATCACATGATGACCACGGTATGCAGATGAACAGGGGACAAGTGAGGGCCTGAGCCCCTTGTGTGGGAGCAGTCAGCATGGCTGGGCCCAATTCCAAAGGCTCATTCATTCACATCTGAGCTGTGGATTTTGAAATCCACACCGGGTCCAGTCCTCCACCTGGAAGGAGAAACTAACCAGCCCTTTCCTTTGGCTTTTCCCTGGAATGCCCAGTACAAGAATGAAGAAAGTCCTAGAACAAATGATGTGAACCAATAATGTGGTGGTTTATTCCAACCAACTCTTCCATTACCCAGCGTAAGAACATCCGTTGGACTCCGTTTCTGGAACACCACAAAGTGATAAAATTCTTTGAAGCTTCACTTCTGTTGAAAATGTCCATCACTCCTGCCCTCCTTCCTGCCCCTCCTCTCCCAGCTGGTCATCTTTTATTCAAAGACAAAAGGAACTTTAAAATGGGATGGCTACATGCATTTCCCGGCATGAGTCCCTTTGGAAATTAATCTTGTGCTCAGTTTTCCCTGATTTATGACAGTCTTTACCTCCTTCACACATCAAAGAAGCCAATGAAGATGAAAATAATTCTCTTATTTGTCTGAGGGGCTAGTCATGAGAGAGTGCCAGCCCTCCATCATTAGTCCCCAAGGACATACCTCACATAGCAGTGGGGTTGCCGAAGAATTAAAAATGTGTGTGTGCACGTGTGTGCACGTGCATTTGTGTGTGAGTCATGAGGGCACAGGCATAGCTTTCTGGCTACTGTCCAGGGCATCCTTTGGGCTGGTAAGTGGGGTTGCTGCTCACCCCCACAGACTATCCGATGTCCCCTTCCTAATGAGGTCTGCACATTCGGTTGCTCTGTGAAGCTCTCTGGGTGCTCCACCATCCTCTCACTTTGCATCAGCTGGGAAGCCTAAGACAGCAGGAGAAAGGGCGAGGTGGGGAACAATCAGAGGCACAAAGGATCTCTATTACCACTCCCTTCACTCTGGCACAGTCTCTGGAAGACTTCTGCCATGGCCCATACTCAAAGGCTGTTCATCACGGCCTGGGGGAGCTTCTGAAAAGCTCTGTGTGTCAAGTCCCCCATGTGGCCAGAAGACACAGGAGACCACAGAGCATATAAATGGAGCGACAGAAAACCATCCATCAATGACCAGACGGCTAGAAGAAACAAAGTTCAAATATTTAGCTCAGGATCTCAAAAGACCAGAAGGTTAGCCTCCCTCTGCTGTTCTCAGGACAGGCATTGTGTTCTGGAGGAAGTTGTCAATCATCTTAAATCTAGACTCTAGGCCCACTTAAGCACATCATAAGATCAAAGACTGTGCAGGCTGAAGGGAAAGACCTGTTGACAAGGATCTGATCAGCACAGACGACCAGAGCCGTGGGAGTCAGAAACCAGTTCAGTTCAACAACCATTCATTGAGTGCTTACTAAGTATTAGGCCCTGTGTTGGGTGCTAGGTATGCACCCAGAAATAAATAAGAGAAGGGCTCTGCCCAAAGGATTTCACAATTTCATCCATTCTCAAGCCCATGGGCACATAAGCTTGAGATTAGTGCCAGCGCAGAGCAATACCCAGAGTGGTTGGAGACTAACCCAGGTGTTTAAGGAAAGCTTCCCGGAGAGTATCACACCTGAGTTCATACCTGAAAGATAGGTAAGAAAGGCTTGAGATGACAAATGAGAAGAGCATTCCAGGAAGAGGCAGGATGGTAAATAAAGGTATGAAAATCTGTGGAGAACTGCAGGCAGCTTAGTCCCATGGGAGCACAGCTCATCAGATGGAGAAATATGGGCTGGGGAGGTCGACAGACAGGTCAGAGCAGAGGGAGGAGTGGTCAGATTTGCAACATAGGGTGTTGTTGAGACCGGATTGTAGCAGGTAGGTTTAAAAGAGGCAAAAGAGAAAGACCAGGCAGGTACTATGGGAACATTCTAGGTGACAAAGGTATCAAATCTACCTAGGTCCACCTGGATACAAGTCATTTTCAATGGGGCTTTAGGCTGCAAGAATTGACACACAAATTTGGATGTTTCTAGAATAAGAGATCCAGTGAGTAGATCCACCCACTGCCTTGGGGAAGAAACTACCCCAGTGGCGTGAGGCACGGCACTCAGTAACCTAAAATCCAGAATCCAGTCACTTCCATTACTCACCCACAAAGGCTTGTTCAACCAGTGTGGAGGAAAGAACTATCTGCTGGCAAGGCCTATTGCTAATTAGCCAACAAAGGTGTCATCCACCTTCAGCAAAGGCAGGAGGAAGGTCCATTTTAAACCCAGGGTAAAGGCTGACATGGGGAGGGGATTAATTTGGTTTCACAAACATAGCAATCTTTCCATAAAGGAGGAGTCAAAGAACTCTTTAATTGGGTCTTTATCAGCTTCCTGAACCATCCTTTTGGAAAAATTAAACTAGAATGTTTTCTCTCTTCTTTCTCCATCTGTCCACCCTCCCCTCATTTTTAGATGCCTGAGCATTGGCCCTGATGCTTAGAGTGGTAAGTGATGAGATCTCTCATGAGCCAATGTGACACAATTACTCTGAGCCCTTCTTTTCAACTGGTTTTCTTTATTTTATGTTCCTGAAAAGACTCTGAAATCTTGTATTGGAGAAACACTCCCTGCGTGTTTCTCTTTTACTCCCACCCTACTACCACACCCAGAACATGTCATTTCTGACACTTCTGGCCACCCAATGTGTGTGGGTTTTTCCACACATCAGGCAATTCTCTGCAACACAAGGTGGGTGTCCTATAATTCAATTCAATTCTGACACTATCCACCTGGAGATAGCGTCAGATCACACAAGTTAAGTGCTCAGTCCCACACAGCTGCCCCACTTCGGATGCCAATCTCAAGTCCCAGGTTTTCACCTGTGCTTCAGACTGACTGGCTATAAGTTAGGGTTCCCAAGCCCTCCTACTTGGATTCAATACTTTGCTAGAATGGCTCACAGAGCTCAAAGAAACACTTAACGTTTACCAGTTTGTTATCAAGGATACAGATGAACCGCCCAGATGAAGAGATACAGAGGGTAAAGTCCAGAACGGTCTTGAGTGCAGAAGCTTCTGCTCCCATGGAGCTGGGGTATGCCATTCCCCTGGCACATGGATGTGTTCATCAACTCGGAGATTCTAACCTCATACTTTTGGGATTTTTATGGAAACTTCATCACATGGGCAGGATCGATTATGAACTCCATTTCTAGCCCCTTTCTCCTCAGAGGGTAGCAGTGGGGCTGAAAGTTCCAAGCTTCAAATCATGGCTTGGTCTTTCTGATGACCAGCCTCCACCCTGAAGCTATCCAGGAGCACACCAAGAGTCACCTCCTTAGAGCAAAAGATATTCTTATGACCCAAAAAATTCCAAGGGTTTTAGGAGTTCTGTGCCGGGAACTGGGGGGCAGAGGCCAATATATATATATATATATATTCTATTATTACACAAACCCCCAGCAACCTTTTTCCCCCTGGAATACTGACATTATCTTTCAGTTTCTATTCTTACCACTTAGTCAAAGGGAGGCCAGTTTTTTCCGCCAAGATTTATTTCAGAGGAAAATGAACATGTAACACAGAATAAGTCTTTATGGTCATATTGATGAGGATTTTTAGGATGAGGATTTTTAGGCTGGTTAATTTTACAATTACAGATGAGAAGCAGGCTCCGAGGAGTGGAATTTGCTTGTCCCTTTGTTGGGAAACATTTACATTTCTAAGGGAAACCTCTATCTGTGAAGATGCCTCCCTCTCTGTGCCAGGAAGAAGGGGGATAGCCTTATCTCTAGAAACTCTCAATGCCAGAGGCAAGAACTTAAGTTGTTACTGTCTGGCAACCTCATGTAACTAACCACCACCCCCCAAAATCCTCTTTTTAAGCGGTTACTTCTGCCATTTACTCAATCCGGTTTGATTCTTATCTAAAAGTTGTGGGACCACCAAATGGCCAGAGCCTATGGGCACTGACACCGTTTTAACTTTTTTACATATTCTTTGTCTTGTAAAGAGATAACTCACATACCTATGCCTTAAATTTAGCTCTGACCCTCAACTTGGGGCAGCAGAAGCAGCAGCAGAAGTGGCAGCAGCAACATGCCGGCAGTGGCTCCTCCTGCCCGTGGGCCCTGTCCCCACGCAGCAGCCTGACTGCCCATGGGTCCTGTCCCCATGCTATTCTATTCTCTAAATAAAAGAGCACTACTGCCAGATCTTAAGAATCTAAGAAATCTTTCTTTTGACTCCTCGGCTCACTGACCCCGCGTCAATATCAACTAGGTCAAGAGGACACAAGAAAAACTCCAGCATTTGGCCAATTTGGTAAAGAAATGTGGACATCAACACAATGAGGAGTCTAAGGCACTTTATCTAAACTGCTCCTCTTTCATTCACGGAAAACACAACAAAAACAACAATCAGAGCAGTTGTCTACCTGAACCATCAATTTACTTGACTCGTCGGTTTAGTTCAATCACGCGGTGCCATATACACAAGGCCTGCACCTCCCTGTTTAGTAGGAATGTTCCTCCTTGTCCTGCTTTCTAAGTTACCTTCAACAAAAGACCAGGAAGCCTTGATTATGCAAGCCAATGAGCACCGTGGCGAGGAGTGCAGTCCTGGGGATTACACCTACAACAGAGTGGGAGGGACCAAATTAGTCATCAAGAATGCTACCATTTTAAAGCCTCCAGGAGGCCTCCTGTCATTTGCAAAGTTGCCATTTCCTGCTTACCCGCCACATCCTTTTTCTGAGCTTTGCCATTCGTCATTTGGGTGTCGGGTATCAGAGATTTGTAAGGAAGTGACAAGTATTCCCAATCATGGAAGCTTGAATTTAGGGCCTTACATAATTTTAAAAATCAGTATATAATTTGAAAACTCAGTCCAACTTTCTCTTTTTTGAGCACACAATATCTTCTCATTGCTGGTGGAGCGTATAAGAAGCCGAACAGAAGAGGCACCATGAAAAATCACAATCACAATAATAACAGCTGACATTTTCTGGGCTTTTGCGATGCCAAGCTCCATCTAGGGGTTTATATTTATTAACTCATTTAACCCTCATCACACTCCTGCAACAATGATGCTATTATTTCGCCCTTTTTATGGATAAGGAAACTGAGCGATAGAAAAGTTAAGGCACCTGCTGAGGCCACACATTTAGACTGTGGTGGAGCAGGGCTTCAAAATTGTGTGATTACGAGCCCAGACTACATCCTCGGCCAGACCTTGGTTTGCCTGCTGCTTCTGCCATTCATCAGGTGTCACCTTGAAAAAGTGCTCCATAGTTTAAAGCCTCTATTTTCTCACTGGAATAACTCAAAAATTATATTTACCTCATTGGTCGCTTGTCAGGATTAGAGAGGTACATGCATGTAAGGATCATGGCACAGGGCTTGGGACACCAAGGTTGACCCCTCGGTGTATTAGCTGTTACTATTATTGATTCCAGCCAATCTCCCCAGCGTGCCCAGTTCAATCATTCAGTAGCTAGGTCCCAGCTGACACAACTGGGCCACCAATCAGTGCCTGCTCCCCATTGGGTCTGCCCCTGTGACTTCGCTCTAGGGTGTATGTGAAACCACTATGTGTTTCCTCTGTTCATGGTCAACAGGGCCCAGCTCAGTGGTCACACGGGGCCTCTCACTATCCCTTAGTGTCAGCCCACCTAGGGGACGAAACTGTCCTTTTCAGAGGCTCATTAAAAAACCTAAAAGAAACTTTGTTTCAGTTCCAAAGGCTATATTTTAGGTTAGATTGTCTCAAAACTCAACCTCCATATTTGATAAACTGTTTTCTTCAGTTTCAGCTGCTCTGAAATGACTGCCATACCCCCACATGTGATTTCCTGTGCACTAGACAGCCTATATTTTAATTAAATGAATGCCTCAAGGACCCTCCAAATTTCTTGAGAATCTGTGCAGCTATTTTCGTGTGATAATATAATGTTTCATTTCTGTAATTTGCATATATTACATATATTTGTATAAATATGAATGTTAAGTTTAGTAAGCACATTTTGTAGACCTTTCTGACAGAAGTGGCTGATGTTTTAAAATCTAGAGGCATACACAGGGCATATTAAGTGGTTGTTTTCAACCACACCATTTTGGTGAGACCCAGTAGACTGGACCTAAGGCTGGACACTTGACCACCCTAATTCTCACCCTGACTCTCCTCCTGTGTCAACTGGGAAGAGCAACGGTAATAGTGCAGATTTACTGAAGGCTGACTATGTGCCAGGTACTATTCCATGGGCTTTGCTCATATTAAATTGTTTAATGCTTTCAATAACGCTATGATATAGCCGCAACTGTTGTTTCCCATATCGCAGCCAGGGGCACTGAAAGCTAGATTATAAAGCTCTAGTAGTGGGGCAGCTGATTTGCGCCCAGGCAGTCTGGCTCCGGGGTCTAAGCTCTTGGTCAGCACATTCTTTTGTGTGCCACTTAATACTTGCTTAATTGAGGGGCTCAAATGAGTCTTCGTATAGACCCAAAATAGATCAGGTTTGAAATTAATGCATTACATTAACTGTCTGAAGACATGGGATGATGCTAATTAAGAGCCCCAAATTAGAAAATCTTAGAATACTTTAAAAATCATGAATTTATGTTTCAGGCCATATTTTCTAGTCTCTTTGAGCACCTTGTAAATTTTCCAAGTAGGATTAGGAGAGAAGAACAGAGAGCTAGTGACAGAGCTCTGCATAAAAAATCCATAGTGAAGATCATAAAGACCCTACATTAGTTCTTCCAAATACAACTATTTAGAAATAATCTTTTATTCCTGTGGGTATATTTTGCTTCTAGTTTTATTTCACGGTAATTATCTGTATTCTAATCTCTTTAACAGTAGCATCCCCTTAGTGGTTGATCCCAAAGCACTTTGAGAAAAAGCAGGAATGCATGTTTTTCTAAGTAACAACTTTGGAATAAATTAATGGGCAAAGGATCAAGTCTCATCAATATAAAAATCGAGAGGTAAATTGAACCTGCCTGCCTAAAAGGGAGCCACTCTCACTTTGAATTGTCACAATTTTTCTTCAATATTTTGAAAACTAAAAAGTTCAAATGTAGGGAATTCAAAGAAGCAAAACCATCTACATTTCAGCCTCCGAGTTACATCTTGACCTACATCAAACTTTCTTCAATTCTTTACACATTTTTTTTTTGTAAGGAAGATTAGCCCTGAGCTAACGTGTATTGCCAATCCTCCTCTTTTTTTTGCTTGAGAAAGATTAGCCCTGAGCTGACATCTTCCTTGACTTTTTATATGTGAGTTGCCACCACAGCATAGCTGGCGAGTGGTGTAGGTCCACACCCAGGATCTGAACCTGCAAACCCACGAACCCAGGCTGCTGAAGCAGAGTGTGCCAAACTCAACTACTATGCCATGGGACTGGCCACACAAAAATTTTAAACAAAAGTTATTCTTTTTTATTTAAACTATAAACTTCATTAAAGGAATTCAAACAATATAGGAAAAAGTATATACAAAAATGGAAGTGAAAAAAAATTCCTTTTTCTAGAATTACTTACCACTGATCCTAGGGAGGCCAGTAAGCTTGGTGGCAGAGTGGGACTCGAGAGTCTGAGTGATGCTTTCAGATGCCTCCTGGTCCTTTCATGTGTCCTTGGGCAGGGCACAACTGTGCCTCACTTTCCTCATCTGTAAATAGAGATGACGATGATAGTAACTATACTACACAGTTGACAATATGTGAGCTAATCCGTGTAAAACACCTAGAATGTTGCTTGATGTACACTAAATATTAAATATTATTGCTCTTAAAATTGTTATTATTATTACTACTACAGGCATCTTTGTATGCATACATAGAGCTAGATGGATCACTAACTAGTCAGAAATACTGTAACAAACTGGATAATTTGGTAGATTCTATATTTATTAAAATCATTATATTTAAATTTTATTTGAATTTGAATTGAATTTGAAAATGAAAGGACTAACTGAAGGGACACTTTACTTTGAAACAGTTGCTTCTTTATCACAAGTAGTGTTATTTCCAAAAGATCTCTATCAGTCAAAAGTGGAGATTGCGGGGGAAAAAAAATAAAAGTAAGAGCCATTTAATAATGTCTTCATGCTTCAATTTTAGACTGGGGCTAGAAGCACTTCTACCAAGATCCTCTCTGACACTTAGCAATTTTTGTTACTTTGGAACTTTTTAAATGATTTTTTTCTTAGATGATTTATATTTTCTCTATTCTGATTTCATCCTTTTTTTAAACATCTTAGTTGGATACACTCATACATGGATTTTGGTTGTTGTTTTGTTTGTTTTTAATTTCCAGAGTGGTTCATAGGTATTCTCTGAGTTCCTTCATATTTGACAGTTTCCTCTTACTGTATATTTCAATGGTGATTTATCCACGTATAACATTTTGGGGTGACGCTTTTTGCCTTAGGTCTTAACATTTTCCTTGTACAGAAGAATGTCATTGTACAAAAATCTGAGGCCAGCTGATATTTTTCCTTGTAGAAAGGGCCTTTACTTTTCTGCTTGGATTCATTTTAAAAAAACGTCTACTTATAAAGCTGAATAGTTCAAGTGGGATAGTTGTCAGTAATAAGAGGTCCAGAATGTTTTAGAAAAATATATATGGTTGTTTTTATTTCAAGAAAATGTTCTTGTATTACAACTATTTTTTCCATTTGTTTGGGTTTTTGTTTAGAGGCATGAATTAACCTTAGTTGAATCATCATTTCTAGATAAATGTATTCATTTCTCTGATGTTTTTTAAATGCATTTATTTTTAAATTATTTTTTTAGAACAGTTTTAAGTTCACAGAAAAATTGAGAGGAAGGTACAAAGATTTCCCTTATATCCCTCGCCCCACACATGCATAGATAGCTTCCCCTTTTATCAACTTTCCCCACCAGAAGGAGGGTACATTTGTTACAATCGATGAACTTACATTGACACACTGTTATCACACAGATTAAATAATGATTCACTCTCAGTGTTGTACATTCAATGCCTGGACAAATGCATGACATGGATACATAGTATCACAAAATACTTCCACTGTCCTAAAAATCCTTTGTGCTCCCTCTGTTTACCCCTCCATCCTCTCAATTCCTGGCAGCCACTGATTTTTTAGTATCCATAGTTTTGCCTTTTCCAGAATGTTGTATAGTTGGAATCATGTAACTTTTCAAATTGGCTCCATACACTTAGTAATATGCATTTACAGTTCATCCATGTCTTTTCATGGCTTGACAGCTCATCTAACTTTAGTGTGGATTAATATTCTCGTGGAAAGATATACCAGTTTATTTACCCACTTACCTACTGAAGGACCTCTTGTTACTTCCAAATTTTGGCAATTGTGAATAAAGTTGCTAGAAACAATTTGCGCACGTTTTTGTGTGGACATAAGCTTTCAAATCCTTTGGGCAAATTACCAGGGATTGCTGGAACCTATGTGAAGAGTATGTTTAACTTTGTATGAAACTGGGTAAGTACTTTATGCACTATTTTGCATTCCTACCAGCAACAAGTGAGAATTCACGTTGTTCCACATCTTAACTAGCATTTGGTGTTATCAATGTCCTAGATTTGGGCCATTCTATTAGACACAAAGTGGTATCTCATTGTTGTTTTAATTTGCATTTCCCTGATGGCATATGATGTGGAGCATCTCTTCATATTCTTATTTGCCGTGTGTGTATCGTCTTTGGTGAGTTGTCTCTGTTAAGGTCTTTGATGCATTTTTTTATTGGGGGGGGGTAAATTTTTTTTCTTATTTTTGAGTTTTAGGAGTTCTTTGTATATTTTGGATCATCAACTGTCCTTTATCAGATATGTCTTTTGTAAACATTTTCTCCCAGCCTGTGATTTAGTCTTTTCATTCTCTTGACAGTGTCTTTTGCAGAGCAGAAATTTTTAGTTTTAACGAAGTCTAGCTTATCAATTCTTCCTTTCATGCCTCTCCACATAAACTTTAGAATAAGTTTGTCAATATCGACAAAATAACTTACTGGGATTGCGTTGAATCTATAGATCAAGTTGAGAAGAACTGACGTTTTGATAATATTGAGGCTTTTTATCCATGAACATGGACAACCGCTGTATTTTTAGTTCTTCTTTGACTTATTTTATCAGAGTTTTGTAGTTTTTCTTATATGGATCTTGTACATATTTTGTTAGATTTATACCTGAGTATTTCATTTTTTTGTTGCTAATGTAAATGGTATTGTGTTTTTAATTTCAAATTTTCCTTGGTCACTGCCAGTATATAGGAAAATGATTGAGTTTTGTACATTAACCTTGTATCCTTCAAATGCATTAAAATCATTCATTCCAGGAGATTTTTTTAAATTGAGTCTTTCAGATTTTCTACATAGAAAATCATGTCATCTGCAATTAAAAACAGTTTTAATTCTTCCTTCCCAATTAGCACCAATTTTACTTCTTTTCCTTATCTTCTTGCATTAGCTAGGACTTCCAGTATGATGTTGGAAATCAGTGGTGAGAGGGAATACCCTTGCCTTTTTCCTTATCTTAGTGGGAAAGCTTCAATTTTCTCACTATTAAATAAGATGTTAGCTGTAGGGTTTTTTTGTAGATATTCTGTATCAAGTTGAAGAATTTTTCCTCTATTCCTAGTTTACTGAGACTTTTTAAAATCTTGAATGGGTGCTGGATTTTGTTAAATGCTTTTTTCTGCATCTATTGACATGATCATATGATATAATTTTTCTTATTTAGTCTTTTGATGAAAAAGACTGCATTAATTAATTTTTGAGTGTTGAACCAAACTTGCGCATCTGGGATGTGCTTCATCATGGCATATAATTCTTTTTATACATGCTTGCATTTGTTGATATTTCCGTCTAATATTTTGTTGATGATTTTTACATCTGTTTTCATTGGAGACACTGGTCTGTAGTTTTCTTTTCTTATGATGTCTTTGTCTGGTTTTTGTGTTAGGGTTATGCTGACCTCATAGAATGAGCTAGCAAATATTCCCTCTGCTTCCATCTTCTGGAAGAGATTGTAGAGAATTAGCATTATTTCTTCCTTAAATATTTGGCAGAATTCACCAGTGAACTCACCTGGGTCTGATGTTTTCTATTCTAGAAGGCTATTAATTATTGATTTAATTTATTTCTTAGATATAGAGTTATTCATATTGTCTATTTCTTCTTGTGTGAGTTTTAGCAAATTGGATCTTCCAAGGAATTCATCCATTTCATCTAGATTATCAAATTTGTGGGCATAGTGTTGTTCATAGTATTCCTTTACTATAGTTTTAATGTCAATGAGATCTGAAGTGATGTCCTTCTTTCATTTCTGATATTAGTAATTTGTGTCTTCTCCTTTTTTTCTTAGCCTGGCCAGAAGCTTATCAATTTTATTTATTTTTTTAAAGAGCTAGCTTTTGGTTTCATTGATTTTCTCGATTTATTTCCTGTTTTCAACTTCATTGATTTCTGCTCTAATTTTTATTATTTCATTTTTTTCTGCTTACTTGGACTTACTTTGCCCTTCGTTTTCTAATTTCCTAAGGTAGAAGCTTAGATTATTGATTTTAGATCATTCTTCTTTTCTCCTTTTTCTTTTAAGATTGGGACCTGAGCTAACATCTGTTGCCAATCTTCTTTTTTCCCCCCTTCTTCTTCTCCCCAAAGCCCCCCAGTACATAGTTGTACATTCTAGTTGTAAGTCCTTCTGGCTCTGCTATGTGGGACACCACCTCAGCATGGCTCAGTGAGTGGCTCTAGGTCCACACCCAGGATCTGAACTGGTGAAACCCTGGGCTGCTAAAGCAGAGCACACTAAATTAACCACTCAGACACAGGCCTGGCGCCCATTCTTCTTTTCTAATACACTCATTCAGTGCTATAAATTTCCCTCTCAGCACTGCTTTCACTGTTTCCCAAAATTTTGATAAGTCCTATTTTCATTTGCATTTACTTCAAAATATTTTTTAATTTATCTTGGAATTTCTTCTTTGACTCATGTGTTATTTAGAAGTATGTTGTTTAATCTCCATGTATTTTGGGATTTTCCAGTTATCCTTCTATTATTGGTTTCTACTTTAATTCTACTGTGGTTGACAGCAGACATTGTACGATTTCTCTTCTTTTAAACTAGTTAAGCTGTGTTTCATGGCCCAGAATGTGGGCTATCTTGGTAAATGTTCTGTGTGAGATTGAGAAGAACGTGTATTCTGCTTTTGTTGGATGAAGTAGTCTGTAGACGTCCATTATATCCAGTTGATTGATAATGTTGTTGAGTTCAATTATGTTCTTACTGATTTTCTGCCTGCTGGATCTGTCCATTTCTGACAAAGGAACACTGAAGTCTCCAACTATAATATCTGATTCATCTATTTTACCTTACACTTCAGCTAGTTTTTCTCTCACATATTTTGACACTCTGTTGTTAGGTGAATACATGTTAAGATTGTTATGTCTACTTGGAGAATTGACCCCTTTATCATTATTTAATGCCCCTTTTTATCCCTGATAACTTTCCTTGCTCTGAAGTCTGTTCTCTCTGAAATTAATATTGCTACTCCTACTTTCTTTTGATTACTGTAAGCATGATATATCCTTCTCCATCCATTTTTGTTTTACTTTCACTTATTCCTTCTTCAATGTTTTTCCTTACTTTATGTAAATCTGAGTTTCTGACATATACTATTTTCCTTCTCTCTAAAGAACTTCTTTTAGCATTTCTTGCATGGTGGGCCTACTGGCAACAAATCCTCTCAATTTTTGCCTGAAAAAGTCTTTGTTTCTCTTTCACGTTAAGGATAATTTTGCAGGGCACGGAATTGTGCATTGATAGTTTTTTTTTTTCAACACTTTAAACATTTTACCTTATACTCTTCTTGCTTGCATGGTTTTTGAGGAGAAGTCAGATACGATTCTTATCTTTATTCCCCTTCAGGTAAGGCGTCTTTTCCCTCTAATTTTTTTCTGGTTTTTTTCTTTATCTTTGATTTTCTATAGTTTGAATATGATATGCCTAGGTAGAGTTTTCTTGGTATTTATTCTTGTTGGTGTTCTCTGAGCATCCAGGATCTGTAGTATGGCAACTCATATTAATTTGGGAAATTCTTAGTCTTTATTGTTTCCAATATTTCTCCTGCTCCTTTCTTTCTATCCTCTTCTTCTGGTATTCTCATTACATTTATGTAACACTTTTTGCAGTTCTTGCATATTCTGTTCTTTGTATTTTTTTCAGTCTTTGTACTCTTTGCTTTTCAGTTTTGAAGATTTCCATTGAAATGTCCTCAAGCTCAGAGGTTCTTTCTTGAGCCATGTCCAGCCTGTTAAAAGCCCATTAAAGGCATTCCTCATTTCTATTACCATGATATTCTTTTCTCTAGTACATCTCTTGTTCTTCCCAAGAATTTCCATCTTTCTGCTTCCATTGCCCATCTGTTCTTTTTTTTTTTTTCCTAGGAAGATTAGTCCTGAGCTAACATCTGCCAATCCTCCCCTTTTTTCTGAGGAATACTGGCCCTGAGCTAACATCTGTGCCCATCTTCCTCTCCTTTATACATGGGACACCTACCACAGCATGGCTTGCCATACAGTGCCATGTCTGAACCCAGGATCTGAGCCAGAGAACCCCAGGCTGCTGAAGTGGAACATGTGCACTTAACCACTGCACCACCGGGC